GCCTGAAAATAAACCATCTATGCTTGATTAATTAGGTTTGTAAGTATTGTTTCAGAACCAAACAATATTTCTAAAGATTTCAATAGTTCAAAGATTGCCCTATGGCCGTCTGGCCAATACATCTTCTAACACACGCAGTTTACAAGCATTTTTCTTCCCAATATGTTGTCTTTGGTTGGTGCGACATTGTTTGAGTGCAGGGCTATTTGGGTCATAGTGGTTTTCTCTTCTGCACAGCAGTGGTGCTGAGCACAGCACTTTGACCATACATCTTCCATGTCATTTCCATCAAAGGCACATGATACTTCCTGGTGACCAATCAGGAGTGGTCCAGCATCCTAACAGAGGGCATATTGGCAAACCAAGCTTTCTTAATGACAGCCATTGTTCAAGGCCAACAAAAGGGAGGTCCTGAATATTAACATGTGGCCTTGTGTAAAGGTCACCAGTATGGCACATCCATCATATTTCACAGCCGAGAAAGAGAACTTTATAAGATCTGTCAGAACCTACTGTTGTCCAAATAAATGTATTAGTCTGACAGCTGACACCAATGAGGCAAATAATCTTGAGTGATGATCTGCTCTTTAAACAAATATCCTTCACTTCTTTGAAGCAGGAGCAGACGCTATGGTGAGAGATGGTGTTTAAGGAATATACCTCAAGGCCACAGGGGGTTAGAATAACCAAGCAACTCAATTAAAATATTAATTTAGTAACATACAATCATTAGATCAAATGGCATTTCCTTCCAAAAGGCATAACTTCCCACACTGAAAATAGAAATTACGTATTTTAACATCTCAGAGTTTTCAGTGGTCTTCTTCATGGACCAACAAGTCCATGAAAATTCTTTCAGTAAGATTTAGATTGTTAATACAATCAGTAGAAGAGAACTCAAAGGCCTGGCCTTACTGACAACACCGAGTTTTTGCTAAAGGCTGTACAAAGTGAAGTATGATAGCAGAATTGAATGAATCTAGAGGAATTCATGTGCATTCACTACTAAACATAAGAGTAAATAACAAGCTTCCTTACTTGACAACCTTGATTAGAGACAGTTCTATGTTCAGTCTTAGAGATACAGGGTTCTGGTTATTAAGCACCATCTTTTAAAAAACATTGGAATTTATTTCTATTTCAGAGGCATGAAAAAATATATAAGCAAGAGAAAGATTAGTAAATAAGCATGCATCATCTCAGCTCCCCCACTCTGACCTTACTACCACTTGGGATTGGACAGGTGCAGGGATGGGGATTAGGTGGAGAGGAGGGGGAGGAAGAGGAGGAGGAAAAGAGGAGTATGATGCACCCTTTTAGTTCCTCGGGTGCATCATACTCTGTCCTGACATGCAGACTTTTTTTTTTCTATCTGGAGTATTTTCCACAGTCCCTCTTCCTCTAACCAACTTCTACTCTTTTGGTTCTTTCTCCTAACCTCTAAGTTGCTTGGATCCTTTTGCTGTATATTTTCACAATTCCTTGCACTTGCTTTATCATAACACTCCACATTTGAGATGATTGCTTATTGAAAATCTTGTCTTCAAATTTACTCCAGTACTCCATGAGGAGAGAAACAGGATATGTCTATTTCACCACTGTGGGTGCTCCATACACATTTGTGCACCAATAGTAGCTTTCAGTATTAAAACAGGATCCAAGTCTAAATTTATCACTTCTGACATATAATAATTTTCTGCTAAATAAAAGAAATTCTGATGCATATGGAGAAAGAATTTAGCATTGAAGCAATTTTGCTTTTTTGTACTGTAGAGAAGACACCAAGTAACTACAATACAGCCTCACTGATTTATGCTCCATTATTTCAGAGCAAGGCATAATCAGACAAGGAAGAAGAAGTCAACTTTTTTTTTTTTTGTCTTTTTCCGTGTCCGGCAACGGATCGCAACCCTAAGTGTCGCCCCCGGACCGGACCGGGACCGGCAACGGGATCACAACCCTCGGTGTTGCTCCCGCGCCTCGCTCAGCCAGTGAGCAGGAACCGGTCTGTATGTGGGATCCGAACCCTCGGCGGGAGCACCGCCACGCTTCCCAAGCGGCGCACTATTGCAGTGCGCCACCAGGCCAGCCCCAGAAGAAGTCAACTTTTAAACTATCTTTGAAAAGGGCATTTTCTAGGTGAATTAATTATTTAAATAATATACCAGAGACATAGTTACTCAAAACAATGGTGTTTTCAAATATTCATCCACTTGTCTTGGCATTGAGTCCTCCTTCCCACCTCTGCACATTTACTCCACCTGGAATGTTCTCTACCTGTCCACATCCTACTTGTCTTCAAGGCCCTGGGTAAGAACCACTCCTTTTGTGAAGCCTTCTCCTGCTGCTTATGCTCACAGCAATCTCCCTGTCTTCTGAATGGCTCTAGTTCTTCCTGTAATCCCACCAGACACTTTGTAATTAAATGTCTTAGGTAAGTATGCCTTTTTGTTGTTGTTAAAAAAAAAAGGTTGTAAATTATTAGAGGGAAGAATTTGTATCTTTATACTTTTCTGAATCTAGCACATTGCCTAGCATGTTGCACTCTATGAGTGTTTAATAAATAGCTGCTAAATAAATGCATTAAGATTTAAAAACTATTATAGATATTTAATCAAGTTTTCTTTTTAAAAATCTCTTGTTAATGTTTTTTTAAACTTATATAGCAATTATGGTTCATTCTGTCTGCTTAGACATACACACACACATACATACACACACACACACACACACACACACACACATACTTTCTTCAAGCCAATGATCCTATGACTAAGCGGTTAAAATGAGAGCTTCTTTATTCTTAGATTCTTCTCTTCTCTAGCTACAATGGGAAAATCATCCAAGGTGGTACTCCACTCCCTATCCACAGTGGATTGTTCCAGGTTTGTGCAATTCACCCATACTTAGACATTTGGACTCCTTCGATGGATTTTTGTTCTTAGGACCTAGAAGACCACATCTCAGTAACTTTCTAGAGGCAGATGCTGTGAGATATGAGCTGGGAGCTTTTGGAGGCCACATTTTCAGGCTTCACTGAAGAGGTTACAATGACGAAATAGGATGACATGCAGGAAGAATGAGAGGCACAAGAGGGAGGGTCTTGGGGACTCTGAAGGCCTTGGCTCAGATCTTCCCTGAAGCTCACCTCACCCCAAATTCCACATACTTTGGATACATAAGCCATTCTCCCTTTTTGACCAGTGTAGTTCAGATTGATCTCTGTGATGTCTAATCAAAATAAACTAGTCACTGTTATTGTATTTTATTAACTGAAACTGCATTTCTTTACAAGTTTTAACTGATCTTGTCACGGATTATTTTCCACAGTCCCTCTTCCTCTAACCAACTTCTACTCTTTTGGTTCTTTCTCCTAACCTCTAAGTTGCTTGGATCCTTTTGCTGTATATTTTCACAATTCCTTGCACTTA